GCCCCTCAACTTTTTTTAAAATAATTTAATTCTTGCAAAGAATTAACAAAAAAACCATTTTTTACATAATTGATTTTTTCGAGGAATTGAAATAAAATTTTTAAGAATAATTACATTTTTTGAGCAATTCCTGTAAAATTGTATTAAATATAATTAAAATCCTACGATGAATTTTATTATTTATGAAAATAATTAAATTCTTCATAAGAATTTTATATAAACATTGTTTTAAATAATTAATTTTTTCGAAATATAATAAATATTATGAAAATTTTATTTTTAACAATTGAATTCTTGTGGAAAACTTTATTTATGAAAATAATTGAATTTTCGATTAATTACTTTAAAATAGTATTAAAAATAATTGAAATTCTTTGATGAATTTGTTAGCTATAAAAATAGTTGAATTCTTGCTTAGAATTTTATCAATTTTTTTTTTCAAATTGAATTTCTCTGAAAAATGTGATTATTAGTGAAAATAATTGAATTCTTGTGATGAATTTTATTATTTATAAAAATGATTAAATTTTGCAAAGAATTTTATTGAAATGGCTCAAAATAATTGAATTTTCGGGAATAATTTTCTTGTTTATCTAGATAGGTAATTGAATTCTTTCAAAGAATTATTTTTGTAAATAATTGAATTTTTCCAAAGAATTTTAAAAACATTTTTTTAAAGAATTAAATTTTTCGAGAAATTGAAATTAAATTTTTAAGAATAATTACATATTTTTAGCAATTCCTGTTGTAAAATTGTAATAAAAATAATTGAAATTCTGTTAAGAATTTGATTATTTTTGATAATAATTGAATTCTTGCTAACGACTTTATTAGAATTTTTTATAAATAATTGAATTTCCAGGAAAAAATTTATTACTTTTGAAAATAATTAAATTTTTGTGATGAATATTGTAATTTATGAAAATAATTGAATTTTGCAAAGAATTTTATTAAAATGCCTCAAAATAATTGAATTTTCGTGAATAATTTTGTTATTTATCTTTAATAATTGAATTCTTTCGAAGAATTATTTTTGTAAATAATTGCATTCTTGGAAAGAATTTTCTTAAAATCTAAAAGAATAATTGTATTATTTAAAAAAAAAATTAGTTAAAATTCTATTTAAAAAAATTGATTTCTTCCCAGTGGGCACCGGGACATCTAAAAGACGTCTTTAGGACGTCCTATTTTGTCCGTGGACATTTTGGGACAACGTTGTTCTTGTCCGAGAGTCATCATAAAGACAACAAAAAGACTTCTTTAAGATGTTCTATGTCTGCCATTTTTATGTCTTGGGGACATAAAAAAGGAAAAAAAAAGTCCTCAAAAGGACCACATTTTCCATCAGGAACTTCGCAAATTTTCTATTACAAGTAGTTTAATATCTTTAATAATTTCAGGCAATAAATATTTAGAATGGAATTACAAAAGTTTAATGTCAATCCACTGTTAGATAAATTTATATATTTTTAAAAATTAAAAAAAATTGTATGAAATATCAAACATGATAAATTTTCATTTCTAGATAATTGAAATAAAACGCTATTTATATAACGGAAAAATAAAGGCAAAATATAAGGCAATGCAAACATTATTAACCCATGTCTGACAAAGAATATATATTAGAGCATGGTAAATCAAAATCTTTTATTACACCAGTTAATTTTTAATTGTTATTAAAATTGAGAATTTACAGTAGAGGAGTTTTCCATTTTCGTCGTATATTTACACCACGAGAAATTTTTTTTATAAGTGACTATTGCTCATTTTATTATTTCAAATATATATTATTTATTATTCCAATAATATTTTATTGGAAAATTATAATATTAATGTAATGCTATCGTGATATTCTCGGTAATATCATTAGGCGGACATTTTAATATGACTGTAATATTACGTGCAAAATGGATTGCAATATTGATCAGAATAACAATTTTCGTATAATTACAGAGACTAAAAGGGTTTAAGAAAAATGCTTTTTGCTTTATTACCGACAATTTATTTGGAAAACCTTTTATTTAGGATGAAGAAGCTTAACTGAAAAATTGCAATGTATAATGTCCAATTGACGTCCTCGGGACGTCCTAGGGACGTCTTTTGGACATAGAACTTAGAAATTTTTCCTCCGAGAAATGAGATTCCAGTTTTAACTTTTAATAAAAATGACAAACTCTATATAATTACAGAGACTAAAACGGTTTTCGAAAAAAGCTTTTTATTACCAATTTTTTTATTTGGAAAACCTTTTACTTAAGATGAAGAAGCGTAACTGAAAAATTGCAATGTATAATGTCCAATTGACGTCCTCGGGACGTCCTAGGGACGTCTTTTGGACATAGAACTTAGAAATTTTTCCTCCGAGAAATGAGATTCCAGTTTTAACTTTTAATAAAAATGACAAACTCTATATAATTACAGAGACTAAAACGGTTTTCGAAAAAAGCTTTTTATTACCAATTTTTTTATTTGGAAAACCTTTTACTTAAGATGAAGAAGCGTAACTGAAAAATTGCAATGTATAATGTCCAATTGACGTCCTCGGGACGTCCTAGGGACGTCTTTTGGACATAGAACTTAGAAATTTTTCCTCCGAGAAATGAGATTCCATTTTAACAAAAATGAAAAATTCTACACAATTACAGATACTAGAAATATTTATAAAAAAGCCTTTTTGTTTTATGTTGTTGAGCTGAATAAAAATCGGAGATAATTACATAGACTAAAAATGTTTCAGGGTTGCCACAGAACATGGATTTTATAATTCCATGACTTTTCCAGGTTTTCCAGGACACTTTTAAAAAAATTCCAGACCCAAAAATAAAATTGTTTTGATAAATTTGTATCTTATTATATGCCAAAAAAAATATAAAATCCTTTAAGTAAATTATTAATAACATAAGTTATTAATTTTTAATTTTATAAATAATTAAAATTTAAGTAATGAATAAATAAATAATTAATAATTTTAGCTGTAATAAAGATTTTATTCTAAAAATTATAAACAATAACGTACAATATTTTGCTTCTAAGGTACCATTTTACCTATTTTACAGTAGATAAAAAAATAATATATACAGAAAAATAATAGGAATTTAAAAATTTAGTTTTGCTTAGAATTTTTCACAATGAAACGAGTATTTTAACATTTTAAAAACATTTTTGGTTTTTCTAATTCTACTTTCTAATTCTAATTCTACATTGATTTAAATAATGTAAGCTCTAAATTTAAAGTTAAAATGTTGTACAATATGAACTTGAAAACTTGAGATTTTTAATATTCAAATTGAAAAAATTGAATTTTCTGAATAAGACTTTATAAAATTTCCTGACAATTCCAGGTCTAAAAAAAATTTTAAAAACCTTTTATTTAGGATAAAGAGACTACCCGTTTAGAAAAATGGTGAGGGCCCCCGGCGGGGTCCTCTTGCCATAAGGAATCCGTAGGGGCTATGCTACGGGACCTATTTGAAAAATATTGCTTTATTGTAGGTGACTTGCTGACTTGCTTTTGATAATTCAATAAATTATTTATTGACACTAATACACCATGACAAATAATTAAATAGTTTAATAATAATAATAACAACGTTAATAATAAAATAATAGACCATAAATATTCATAAATTAATATTTTTATTATTTAAAAATAAAAATGTCAAAACATTTGTGTTAAAAACGCGTTTTTCATAGTTTAGAATCATAATAAACTTTAATTTTTTATTTAAAAAAAATTTTTTTTTTGGACGTAGAAATTTTTTTTAGTCAATTATATGGGCAATCTATGCGGGCCCCTCGCGAGGGCCCTCATGGATTTGCCCTCATGTGAGTTCAATATTTCCAAAAAAGTAACATTAAATATTTGTTAAAAACGCGATTTTCATTGTTTAAAATCATTATAATCATTAATTTTTGTTATGTAAAAAAATATTTTTTGTTAGAACTTAGAAATTTTTGCTAATTAATGTTGTGGTCAATCCATGCGGGCCCCTCGTGTGGGCCCGCATTGTAAACATAATTTGTTAGTGTAAAAAAAAGTTCGTTGTTTGGACTTAGAAAAATTGTTGAGCAGGGCATTCATAGTGGCTACGAGCAGGGGCCCTGCTGGTGCCCTCGTAAATTTCCATAACTTTGTGATAGAATTTCCGGAAAAATGTCACTCAATGTTTATTTCAGTTGCTTTGAAATGTAATTTAATGCATTCTGATCTAAAGTTTTTTAATAAAAAAAATATTTTTTTGAAACTTAGATAAATTTTTGAGCAGGGCAGCCGTAAGGGCAAAGAGCGGGGCCCTAAGAAATTGATGTATATAATGTCCAATTGACGTCTTCGGGACGTCTTTAAGACGTCTTTTGGACATAAAACTTTGAAATTTTTCCTACGAGAAAAAAGTTGGCAACTTTTTCAAGATCAAGATCAACAACTTTCAAGATAATATCAGTTTCCACATACAGTATCCCCAAACCAGGATGTTTAGTGAATTATGTTTTTTAAATTTCCGAATTTTTTAAATACAGTCAAACCTGGATTATTCGAACTAATTTATAGGCATGATTTGGTTCGGACGATATAAATTGCAATTATTTTCGTTTAAAGTTAATTTAGCTTTAATAAAACAATTTTAGTAACTTCTATTTTTGCAATTTGTTTGAACTTTAAAAATAATAAATATTAAAAATTGTAACATAGCCTTAAAAAACTGTCATTTTAAATGAGCATGTATTCTATTTGTTTTCGTGAGTTATGTGTTTTATAAACGCTATCGCGAATAATGTTTTCATTTAAGAGCCATCGATTTGTCTTCTTTTAAGTAATTACATTAAAAGTCACTGAATAATCACTAAAACTTCTTTGTTTTTATAAGATTTTTGTACCAATAGATGTAAAATTTAAAAGTTTTTGCTTAATATGACGAAAAAGTTCGGACAAATTGATTTACAGTTTGGATAATGAAGAGTTCAAATAATCGAGGTTCCACTGTAATAAGTTAAAAAGAATATGGGTTTAAATTTCAGGGACATTTTATTTATTAAAATAGTATTTCTCTTACTACAAAATTTTGATTTTTTTTATTAAGATCAAAATAAAACGCAATTAAAGCTGTTTAGTCTAGTTAATAAGCACGTCCAACTTTTGAAATGTTTCGTTTAATTCGATCTCCAGTCCTCTTGAAACAATCCGCAATAACTCCTTCAATCGCAGTTTCCGTGGTTGTTGGAAAACTTTTCAGAATTTCTCCTACAAAAGAAAATTGGTTGAATTAAAGAAACAATATAACTTAACTGTGTAGCAATGTATTTATTTGGTTGATTCAACTAGAATTTCGTTGTTTGCAATAAATTTTTTTTCTGAGTGTAGGGGAGACTGAGGTAAACCAGACCACTTTTTTTCAGATCGGTAAAAATCTAGGAAATTATTCTCTAAATCCAAGTTAATTTATATCATTTGAAAGCTTATGATTTCTACTAAGAAAATAAAAAAGAATTTTTTAATTGATCTTTTTTAGTTTTACTTAAAGAAACTTTTTAACACAAATCTACCAAATTTTGAAATCTCAATTTTCCAGAGTAAATTAGGTACTTCAAGTTGGGTGGGGGAAATCCAATATAGCTGACATCAGCTGATTTACCGGAGGACAAACAATGCATTGAAGTCAATGGGACAAATTAGTTTTTTAACCATAACTTTTAAAAAATTCATTTTTGAACTTTGTGTAATGGAAAATTATTCTTTATTTATCGAAAGCTATTTTTTAAAACAATAAAATTTAATTTTTTGGTTTTATTGTTTTAAAAAATATCTTTCGATAAATATTACTTGATTGGGATTTAAGATGTTTCTACACTACCAACATTTATAAATATTAGAGGTAATATAGATAGTAATATAATATAATATTACATTTCTGTAGCAATACATCATAATGACACTTACAGCAAACACATCCCTGATGACAAATTTTGATCCGCCTTGAATTCTCTGAAATATATATATATATATATATATATATATATATATAAATATATACAAATATAAAATTGAAAACGTGCATTTGTATATAGGGCAAATTTTCTTAAGTGTACTAAGCTCAAAAGTAAAAGTTGGTAAATCGGACTAATATTTCCACAATCTTTAGTATTACTAGTAACTACTTAAACCACTAAATATAATAGAATTTTCTTTGAAAATTTTTGTCCAATTTGATCAAGACAATTTTCAAAAAATTAAAATCATATCAGAGTGTCTACTGAAAATATGACTTAAAATTCCAGGACATTTATATGTGTAACAGGGTTTCCACAAGTCAGGGAAGTCAAGGAATTCAGGGAAAAGTCAGGAATTTTTATTAAAAGTACTAAAAAAAATTTAATTTATATAATTTATAGAAAAATTATTAATTTTGGTGTCTTTTGTTTGCCTTATAAACTATAAACTTGCCAAGAATTCTAATACAAACCTTTCAATTCTTTCTATATTTGACAATAATTTCTTTTTAAATAACTTTTAAATAACTTCGCATGAATTCAATTAGGTTTAAAAGTTTTTTAAAATTCTCTTCAAAATTTCTATTATCTTTATAAATAATAAAATTCTTCTCCAAAATTCAATTATTTTCAAAAAATTTAATAAAATTCTTGGCAAAATTTCAATTATTTTCAAAATTATTCCTCATTTCAATTATTTTTGAGATCCATTTAAATAAAATTTTCCAAAAGAATTCTATTATTTAAACAAAATTTTAATAAAAATTTAACAGGAATTCAATTACTTAGGTACTAATTTCTTTTATAAATTTCTTCGTATCAATTTAATTATTTAAAATCTTTTAAGGGGCCAGTCTGGGTCTTTTGCACGTATTTTGAAGAATTTTTTTTTTCATAGTGAAATTTATTTAAACATTTTTAAATTTTTACATATTACAGATATATTAAACTAAATAAAAAAAATTTATTTTTATATTTTTTGTTGTTAACCCTCTGCCTACTCAAGTGACCGTTATCGACAAAAAACGACAATTCGGTCGCCTGGTGGGGACTATGGGAATTACATTTAAAAGCGCTAGAGTGGGGATAACTCAGCGTAGGCAGAGGGTTAATAGCGAAGAAATGGCCAACTGTAAAAAAAAATCTCGAAAATCTGGTTAACATGATATCTTCAGTCAGAACAGACGGAATCAAAAAATTCAAACGGTTTATTAAAATGTATGTAAATGGTTACAGCCTGAACTAAAATCATAATTTTTAAATAATTTTTAACCTATTTTTTAAACAATTTTAGTTGCAAAAGAAGCGTTGAAAAAGTAGAAAGTCCGCCATTTTGTTATTTTTCAATGCAAATTTTTTATTTTAGTTCCAGCTGTAAACATTTACCTATATTTTAATAATCCGTTTGAATTTTTTGATTCTGTTTGTTCTGACTGAAGATATCATGTCAACCAGATTTTTCAGATTTTTTTTACAGTCTCCATTTCTTCGCTATTAACAACAAAAAATACATAAAGAAAAATTTTTATTTTAATATACGTGTAATAATATGTAAAAATTTAGAAATGTTTAAATGAATTTCACTATAAAAAAAATTCTTCAAAATACGTGCAAAAGACCCAGACTGCACCCTTCATGAAATTTTTGAAAAAATTTAAATAGGGGAAGTGTACCAATTGCCGAGGGTGTTCCATTTGTCGATGTTACCATGGTAATAACCAAAAAATATTGTCTAAAATGTCTCATTTGTTTGTTTATATAATATTAATATATTTTTTTTACATTTATAACGCATAAAAAAATTAATATTTATTACTTTTTTTCATTTTCAATGTGCTACACTGTTTAAATAAAATTCAAAGTTTGTTTACTCGACAACAGGAACCATCCTCGACAATTGGTACGTTTACCCTATATAAAGAAAAATTGAAAAAATAGTCTCAGAAATTCAAATATTTCAAAAAATTTAAATAAAAATCTTTTAAGGGTGTTCGAACAAGAAAAACCTTTAAAAATGGCTGCCAGAACTTATGCTTCATCTGAAATAGATTATTATCACAATTGAGACATTTATCACAATTTTTAAAAAATTAGCCGGAATCTTGAATGGTTGTACTTTCATTTTCTTCTAATAAATTAAACATTTATACATAAATAGAATGATAGGAAGTAAACTAGAACCACACAAGCGAAATATAAACAAATTAGTGCTATTAAAAAATATCTTCAGAGGGCATCACCCACCAGGTACATAGAAATCTCTTAGTTTACTTCCTATTGTTGCATATATGTTAAACAATCTTCAATTTCTTAGACTCAAATTAAAGCAAAAATTTTCAAAATTCCGGCTGATTCTTTTCAAATTACTATCAATGTGTCAATTACGATAAACATTCGTATCAAAAAAAGTATAACTTCTGACCGCCATTTTTAAATACCTTTCTTGATCGAACACCCTTAATAATTCTATTAATTAAATAAAAGTTGACGAAATTCTTTACAAGATTTAGTTCATTAAATTGCAATTTTAACAAAATTTTCTTATATAATTCAATTATTTACAAAACATTTCACCTTAAGAATTAAATTATTTTCACAAAATTACATTTTTAAGGAAATTCAATTATTTAAAGAAATTTGAATAAAATCCTTCGCCAGAAATCAATTATTTTTTTTCTTGAGAATTCAATTATTTTTAAAAATTTTGATAAAATGCTCTATAAATTTGAAAAATTACAATAAAATCGGCCATAGAATATCACTATTTTCGTAAAAAACAACATTTTTCTATAAATACAATTATTGTCAAAAATTTTTGTAAAACTCTTCGAAACAATTCAATTATTTAAGATATTTTAATAAAATTCTTCCCAAGAATTCAATTTTTTTTAAAATAAACATTTTCACAGGAATTAAATAATTTAAAAATTTTTTTTTAATTTTGTATTAAATTTTAACTATTTTTAAAGAGTTTTTAAAAATTCTGAAAAATTCAATTATTTAAAAAAATTTGAGTAAAATTCTTCACAAGAAATTAATTATTTTCATAAATAATATTTTTATCTGAAATTCAATTATTTTTACAAATAAAATTCTTCACAGGAATTCAAATAATTCTTAATAAAGATTTTTTATAATTTTATAAAATTCGCTGAAAAAATTCAATTGCTATTAAAAATTTTGATGAAATTCTTCATAAAAATTCAATTTTGTAAAACATGTAATTACTGAATAAATTATTTATTTTTGTATTTTAGTAATTGAATTCTGAAGAAATTTTCTAATAAAAATTTATTCAAAAATGAATTTCTCTTAAAATTTTAAATTATAATTGAATATTAAAAACATTATAGCGTGAATTTTTAGAATTAATTTAATTTTAAAAATAATTTAATTTAAAATCTTTGAAAATTTGAATTTTTAATTACAATATTCTTATGAAATAAAATAATGATTTTATTACTTTGTTATCTTAAATTTATTATAATATTCTCGTAAGTTAGGTATTGAATTTGAGAATATAAATTCCTAAAGAAAAATAATAATGATTAAATATTTATTTTAAAAAAGAAGTTATTAATGTTCTTCAGGGTCAGGAAAAACCTGAAAATTTTGTCTGGAAATCAGGGAAAAATAAAATTAAAATTTTGTGGCAACCATGTGTAATATTATTTCATATTACGATTTTAAAATAATTTAAATTAACCTATACTTAAACAAAAATATTTATTTTATTATAAAAAAAGTTAAAAATGAATATTGTATAGATACCAGTTTCTTTAATCAAATGACAAATTGAAATTATTTTTTGATGGCTCAAAAAAATTATTTTTTTAAAATTGAGTAAAATTTTTAATCCAGGACATTTAAGGACATTTATTCAAATTCCAGGACATTTCCAGGTATTCCAGGACTTCAAGGATCAGTAGACACCCTGCATTGTATGCACTTTAAAAATTTTCAAATTTTTACCAAATTGTTTAATTACTTTTTATTTATTTAAATATTTCAGAAATATGAAGATATTTTGTTTGTTAAAAGTATAGACTAGAAAAAAGAAGAAAAAACAAGTTCTTTCTGAAACGGGTGTCTACTCTCTAAATCTGAATATGTGAAATTTCACTTATTGTACGTTATAAGTCGTCCTCTCGATCAATAAGTGCATATACACTTATAAATAAGTGAATTTTTCACTTATTCTGAGTGAAATTTCACTTATTATAAGTGTATATGCACTTATTGATCGAGAAGACGACTTATAACGTACAAATATGTGAATTTTCACATAGAAAATGATAAACTCATATATAATTGCAGAGACTAAAATTGTTTTCGAAAAAAGCTTTTTATTACCAATTTTTTTATTTGAAAAACCTTTTATTTAAGATGAAAAATATTAACTGAAAAATTACAATGTATAATGTCCAATTGACGTCCTCGGGACGTCCTAGGGACGTCTTTTGGACATAGAACTTAGAAATTTTTCCTCCGAGAAATGAGATTCCAGTTTTAACTTTTAATAAAAATGACAAACTCTATATAATTACAGAGACTAAAACGGTTTTCGAAAAAAGCTTTTTATTACCAATTTTTTTATTTGGAAAACCTTTTACTTAAGATGAAGAAGCGTAACTGAAAAATTGCAATGTATAATGTCCAATTGACGTCCTAGGGACGTCTTTTGGACATAGAACTTAGAAATTTTTCCTCCGAGAAATAAGATTCCCGTTTTAACTTTTAACGAAAATGATAAACTCATATATAATTTCAGAGACTAAAACGGTTTTCGAAAAAAGCTTTTTATTACCAATTTTTTTATTTGAAAAACCTTTTATTTAAGATGAAAAAGATTAACTGAAAAATTACAATGTATAATGTCCAATTGACGTCCTCGGGACGTCCTAGGGACGTCTTTTGGACATAGAACTTAGAAATTTTTCCTCCGAGAAATAAGATTCCAGTTTTAATTTTTAACGAAAATGATAAACTCGATATTATTACAGAGAATAAAAGCGATTACGTAAAAAGCTTTTTGCTTTATTACAAACTTTGTATTGGAAATTTTTATGATATTTTGAATTTCGAAAAACTTTAAACCGTTTGAACTACCAACTACAAAAATATGTACTTAACAAAGCAAGAAACTACATTATAAATATTTTTGTTCGAAAAAGTGGACCATCTATTTTAAAACGAGTATAATAAATAATAAAATAAACCAATTATTGCTTATTAAATTTAGGACTTAAATTAAACGACATTGAATAAAACATTGAACAAAGAAACATAGTAATTGGGGTACAATAAATCATGCACAAAAAAGTATAAATGATAGAGATATGAAAGCAGAACAATTACCTGCGATAGTGTTTTCAGAATTTGCCTCTCTTAATCCCTCGTTAGGATTACCAACAGCAATTGGACTGCTCTCTCTGGAACTATCAATTGGACTGCCCTCCCTGAAAGTGTCACTGAAGCTGTTCTCCCGGAAGCTGCTATTTCGATTGCTTCCCTTAATTAGGTCGACTGGACTGCTCTTCACGACTGTCGTTTGGGATGTCCCTCTAGCTCGACTAGCATGGCTGGTCTTCCTTAAGCTGCTACTTGGATTGGCTCCCCCATTAAATTGACTGGACTGCTCTTCACGACTGTCGTTTGGGATGTCCCTCTAGCTCGACTAGCATGGCTGGTCTTCCTTAAGCTGCTACTTGGATTGGCTCCCCCATTAAATTGACTGGACTCCTCTTCACGACTGTCGTTTGGGATGTCCCCCTACAGTACCGTCCGCAATTGTCAGTCCACCCATTTTTAAAGGAATGACAAAAATTTTTTAACATAAAATTCATGAAAACTAAAATTTTTTTTGGTTTATATTTTGAAAGACGATAAAATTTTGAAAAGAATAAGACCTTACAGAAGTCATTTGGCCAAAATTTGTAGAAGATATTCCTAAAAATCGTCATTTTCAATGTTTTACAAAAATTTAAATAACTTCTAAAATAATGAACGCTTTTTAATAATCTTAGGCTTATTTTAAAGGTCTTTTTCTACGGAAAAAGAATTACTTATAGGCATTAACCTGTCATTTTTAACTTGGAATAAGCATGACGTCAAAATTGGACAAAAAAATTGGAAAAATTTGAAATCAATTTTTTGTACTAAAAACTATTCTAGAACATATATAAAACATGATATGGTGTAGATTTTTCAAGAAAATTTAATAAAAATATATGTTTGAATTTCAAAAATTATTTTTCTTTTAATAATATTATTTCAAATTTTTTGAATTTTTTTGTCCAACTTTGACGTCATGCTTATTCCAAGTTGAAAATGACAGGTTAATGCCTATAAGTAATTCTTATTCTGTAGAAAATAGTCTTTAAAATAAGCCTAAGATTATTAAAAAGCGTTCATTATTTTAGAAGTTATTCAAATTTTTGTAAAACATTGAAAATGACGATTTTTAAGAATATCTTCTACAAATTTTGGCCAAATGACTTCTGTAAGGTCTTATTCTTTTCAAAATTTTATCGTCTTTCAAAATATAAACCAAAAAAAATTTTACTTTTCATGAATTCTATGTTAAAAAAATTTTGTCATTCCTTTGAAAATGGGTGGACTGACAATTTCGGACGGTACTGTAGCTCGACTAGCATGGCTGGTCTTCCTTAAGCTGCTACTTGGATTGGCTCCCCCATTAAATTGACTGGACTGCTCTTCACGACTGTCGTTTGGGATGTCCCCCTAGCTCGACTAGCATGGCTGGTCTCCCTTAAGCTGCTACTTGGATTGGCTCCCCCAATTAGGTCGACTGGACTGCTCTTCACGACTGTCGTTTGGGATGTCCCTCTAGCTCGACTAGCATGGCTGGTCTCCCTGAAGCTGCTACTTGGATTGTCTCCCCCAATTAGGTCGACTGGACTGCTCTTCACGACACTGCTATTTCGATAGGTTCCCCCCATTTGGTCGACTGGACTGCTCTTCACGACTGTCGTTTGGGATGTCCCTCTAGCTCGACTAGCATGGCTCGTCTCCCTGAAGCTGCTACTTGGATTGGCTCCTCCAATTAGGTCGACTGGACTGCTCTTCACGACACTGCTATTTCGATTGGTTCCCCCAATTAGGTCGATTGGACTGCTCTTCACGACACTAACGTTTGGGATGTCCCCCATAGCTCGATAAGCATGGCTTGTCTTCTCGAAACTGCTAGTTCGATGTGATCTCTCATGGAATCGCACTCAAATAAAATATATTTTGTTTAAATAATATTTTTCTCTGGGTTTTTATAGATTTTTAAAGAATTAGCGAAATTTTCCAAAAATTCACGGATATTTTTTTCAATTCCTCGTTTTTCCCGTACGTATACCAGTAGGCTCCTTACCAAAAATTTAATTTTAAAAAAGTAGTAAAAAGTAACTTTAAAATTAATAAGTAGAAAATTTAAATTTGCCCACAAAAATTTGATTATTTATTTACCCCTTCGCTTTGCCTGATTATCGTAAAAAATATTAACTTTTTTTTCATATCCTTATAATAATTCTAAATTTTATTTTCCTAACTTTATCCTTAATTTTATCTAAAATATTTACTTCTTTCTTATCCTGCTAATAAATTGAATTCCTGGAATTTTAATTTTCATGAAAGAATTTAAATATTTATAAAAATAATTTAATTTTTGCGAAGAATTTATAAAAATGTTTAAATAATTCATTTCTTTGGAATAATGTTTTTAAATTCTAATTTAAATAATTTAATTCATAAAAAAATTTTGTTATTTATAAAAAGAATTGAAATCTTACAAAGATTTTTACAAAAATTTTTTTAAATAATTGAATTCTATTTGGAAATTTTATAAAAATAGTAGATAATATAGAAAAACATTTAAATGCGAAAAGTTTTCGAGAACAACTGAATTTTTCCTTAGAATTTTATCAAAACTTTTTTAAAAAATTGAATTTCCAAAAAATATGTGCTTTTTTGTTTTAAATTTAATGAAAAATGTTATTATTAGTGAAAGTAATTAAATTATAAATTGTATAACAATTTTGTTAAAGAATAGATTTTTTCGAAATTTTTTTAAAATACTATTCAAAATTAATTGAATTCCTGTGGAAGTTTTATTATTTATAAAAATAATTGAATTTTGAATAAATTTTTTTTTATTATGAATTATTTTGCGAAATTTTATGATAATACTAGATATTGAAAATAATTGAATTTCTAATTTTTTATAAAAATAATTGAATCGTTTTAAAGAATTTGATTAAAATTATTACGAAATTCCGATTATTCTGAAATTCTTCAATTAAATATATTAGAAATTAAAAACTTTAAATATTGAAAAAAATTACATTAAACTTATTGAGAAAAATTAAATTTATAGAATTCTTAATTAAAAATATGAAAAGTTCAAATTTTGAAAGATTTTAATTTCATATTCATTTTTAAATCAATATTTATTAGAAAATTCTACGAGAATTCAATTATTTAACTATAAAATAATTATTTTATTAAACAATTGAATAATTGAAATTCTGCCAAGAATTTTATTAAAAGTTTTGAAAATAATTGAATTGCCGAGAAAAATTTTATTATTTATAAAGATAATTGAAATTTTGACAATTTTTCAAGATATCCGAGGCCTGTAGGATGAAAAAGCTTAACTGAAAAATTGCAATGTATAATGTCCAACTGACGTCCCGGGGACGTCCTAGGGACGTCTTTTGGACATAGAACTTAGAAATTTTTCCTTAGAGAAATAAGATTCCAGTTTTAATTTTTAATATAAATATCAAACTCTATATAATTACAGAGACTAAAACGGTTTTCGAAAAAAGCTTTTTATTACCAATTTTTTTATTTGGAAAACCTTTTATTTAAGATGAAAAAGATTAACTGAAAAATTACAATGTATAATGTCCAATTGACGTCCTCGGGACGTCCTAGGGACGTCTTTTGGACATAGCACTTAGAAATTTTTCCTCCGATAAATAAGATTCCAGTTTTAAGTTTTAACGAAAATGATAAACTCATATATAATTTCAGAGACTAAAACGGTTTTCGAAAAAAGTTTTTTATTACCAATTTTTTTATTTGGAAAGCCTTTTACTTAAGATGAAGGAGCGTAACTGAAAAATTACAATGTATAATGTCCAATTGACGTCCTCGGGACGTCTTTTGGACATAGAACTTAGAAATTTTTCCTCCGAGAAATAAGATTCCCGTTTTAACTTTTAACGAAAATGATAAACTCATATATAATTTCAGAGACTAAAACGGTTTTTGAAAAAAGCTTTTTATTACCAATTTTTTTATTTGAAAAACCTTTTATTTAAGATGAAAAAGATTAACTGAAAAATTACAATGTATAATGTCCAATTGACGTCCTCGGGACGTCTTTTGGACATAGAACTTAGAAATTTTTCCTCCGAGAAATAAGATTCCAGTTTTAACTTTTAACGAAAATGATAAACTCATATATAATTTCAGAGACTAAAACGGTTTTCGAAAAAAGCTTTTTATTACCAATTTTTTTATTTGGAAAACCTTTTACTTAAGATGAAGAAGCGTAACTGAAAAATTGCAATGTATAATGTCCAATTGACGTCCTCGGGACGTCCTAGGGACGTCTTTTGGACATAGAACTTAGAAATTTTTCCTCCGAGAAATGAGATTCCGGTTTTAACTTTTAACGAAAATGATAAACTCGATATTATTACAGAGACTAAAAAAGCGATTACGTAAAAAGCTTTTTGCTTTATTACAAACTTTGTATTGGAAATTTTTATGATATTTTGAATTTCGAAAAACTTTAAACCGTTTGAACTACCAACTACAAAAATATGTACTTAACAAAGCAAGAAACTACATTATAAATATTTTTGTTCGAAAAAGTGGACCATCTATTTTAAAACGAGTATAATAAATAATAAAATAAACCAATTATTGGTTATTAAATTTGGGACTTAAATTAAACGACATTGAATAAAACATTAGATAAAGAAACATAATAATTAGGGTGCAATAAATCATGCACAAAAAATTTTTGAAAGATTTTAATTTGAAATTCATTTTTAAATCAATATATATTAGAAAATTCTATGAAAATTCAATTATTTAACTATAAAAATAATTATTTTATTAAACAATTGAATAATTGAAATTCTGCTAAGAATTTTATTAAAAGTTTTGAAAATAATTGAATTGCTGAGAAAAATTTTATTATTTATAAAGATAATTAAAATTTTGACAAGAATATTTGTAAATTTTTAAACATACTTGCATTTCTGAGAAGAATTTTATTAAAATTATTTTGAAAAAAATTCAATTGTTAGGCAAAGAATTTCATTAAAACTTTTGAAAATTATTTTATTCTTTAAAGAAATTTAATTATAAATTCATTAAAAATAATACTCAAATTCTAATAAATAAATTGTAGCAAAGGTTATTAAAATAATTAAATTTCTTTAATAATAACATTTTTAAGAATAATAAATTTTTTCGAGGAATTCCATTAAAATTGTATTAAAAATAATTAAGTTTTATTATTTATGAAAATAATTGAATGTTTCCGTTGAATTTTATTAAAATTTTGTTTAACTAATTGAATTCTTTTAGGAATTTTTATTAAAGTAGTAGATATTAAAAATCATTGAATTGTAAACGCAATTCTTTTAAAATTGAATTAATTTTGAAACATTTAAGTGAAATTAGATTTCAAGAATAAACACAATAATTTTAGAAAACAACAATTTTCCAGGATTCCGATTGAAAATCCCTGACTTTACAAGGTTTTTTCAAAGTTTATAAAATTACCTGACATTTCCAGGTTTTCCAATTTTCCAGGTTGCGTGGCAACTCTGAATTAGTAAATAGATTTTTGAAGATAAGTGCAAAGGCCTAAAAAATTTTAATTATACTTTTCTAAAATCCTGTCTTTTCCTTAATTACAAGATTATTCAAAACTTTTAATGCCATATAAGAAAAAAATGTTCTAAAAATTTTGATGAATACGTTTTTCTTAAGATATTTCAGTTTTTATATCTGGGAGCAAAAATTCTAAAAATTACTTCCTCAATAGTGTTGTGATGTTCAAAAACGAATAATCGATAGAATAATTAAATAATGAAAGTACACAAAAGTTTAAAACTGACTTTAAAAAATGGTTGTCAACTACTTTATCTCTCAAAGAGAAAAACTTTTGATCCCTTTAAATCACACAATTCATCTTTAATTAAAAATATCTTTGACATTAAAAATCTCATCTTAATATTGATAAAAAGGATAAAAAAATCCTTAACAATTCAATACAATAATTTTGCGTATTTCAATACCTTGCATTTATCTATTTCGTTCATCTATTTCTTTAACGAAAACAAATTATAATCTTATCGTATTTTAAAAAACAACTTAACTTCAAAAAAAGATTTTTTTAACTTACAAATACATAAATATTTTTTGTTTACCTTATTATCAGTTTCAAATCCAAACGGAATTTTCCTAGTATTAAAAACGAAAAGTAAACAAATCTGCAGAGATCATAAACAAAAGTCTTTAGAAGGCGTAACGCGTTCGAATATCCTCCAATCTCTTCGAAACTTCAGACGATGTTTTTTTCTAAATCGCCGGCAATATTTTTTTGAATTGTAGACTGAATTGAGTTGAATTGCTCGCATAAATCACCATCATCTGAAGGAGAGTGGATGAATAATTAAATATGTCTAATATCAGAATTTAGTTTAGTAAGTTAGTTTTTTAGTTTAGACTTTTTAGTTTCAATTTAGTTTCAGAATTCTTTGCGAAGAATTTAATCAAAATTTTTTAATATAATACAATTTTTTTTAAAAACACTAATTAAATTTTTCGCTGAACTACATACAAATTGTATAATAAATAATTGAATTCTTTCAAAAAATTTTATTATTTACAAAAAATTCAATTCTTGCAAAGAAAAGTTCATCGAATTAGACTTATTCTCTAAAACAATTGTTCCTATCAAATTCAAAAAAGAATCTTATTGAATTCATTTTTTTAAAAACAAAAATTAAAATTTTGATAGAAATTGTAATTATATAAACATTTTTCTTTTAAAAATTGTTATGATGTAATATCGAAAATATTCAAAAATAACAGAAAATAAAATGAAGGACGAATTTTCCAAATTTTCAGAATCTTTAACTTTTTATATCTATATAGTCGGACACTATGATTGTTAAAATAATGAATAAAAAACTATTTGTCGAAATATAATTTCAAATAACACTATTTTCATAAAATATGAATTACATACCACTATGTAATTGTTTGGAATAAAATAAAATTCCGATAATTTGGCAAGAGCTGGATGTGGCTTCCATTGATGACTCGACAGAAAAGACAGGTTTCCGGTTCCGCCGTTCCGGTGTATCGTTACTAGTTCAACCTTCAACATTAAGGTTTATCCACATAGAGTGAAACATCCAAACTGCGACAATTAGGCTGTTTCACTACATCGAGATATTTCGAGTTCGAGTATGACGTCAGATAGCTGGAGGAAAAACAAACAGACGACGCAAAGCAATTCTTATAAGAGAAAAAAATTTTGCATTTTCTTTTCAATGTTTTGCAAATTTAATGGATTTTAAACACTTTATATCTACATAAATGTAATTGAAACGGATTCTGTAAAATAATTGTAGTGAAATTAACACTTTACACATCATCACAGAAACTTAAAAATATGCTAAATTGTATGTTTTTAAGGTTAGGAATGTCTATTTACCACTATTATCTCTATGTATAAAATGTATAAAATAAGGGTAAACAATCGTTCCTAACCTCAAAAACATACATTTTAGCCATGGAGTAGTATAAGGAGACCGAACGACCGTGCGAAATCTGTATTGAAAGTGTACCACTTTTTGGTACCCGCTTAGCATCGTGAAAACACCGAATGCAACACTAGCGCTACTTGTGAGAAAAGTGGTAACTGTCATGGAAATTCATAATATAACCTACAATTATGTATGTGCAGCAACGTGCAGCGTAGTATGGTTATAGCGTAGTCAAATATAGTGATAAATATTTATTATTCGCCAAGTGTAAATAGTAAACTGGCATGTGATTATTAAAAAAATGCAGTTTATTTCTTCATTTTCCCGCGAGTAGCGCTAGTGTTGCATTCGGTGTTTTCACGATGTTAAGAGGGAACCGAAATCAGGTCCACTTTCAATACATGTCGTTCGGTCTCCTTAGGGTGGAGTCCCATGGCAGCGTTTTGCGTTGCGTTTTGTAACTAGGCCATGAGTGCAAATATAGCAAACATATATCTTCATCTCTCTCACACTCATTGCCTAGTTACAAATCGCAACGCAAAACGCTGCCATGGGACTTCAGCCTAAGGCTGAAGTCCCATGGCAGCGTTTAAGTTTCTGTGAAGTGTAAAGTGTTAATTTCACTACAATTATTTTACAGAATGCGTTTCAATTACATATATGTAGATAAAAAATGTTCCAAATCCATTAAATTTGCAAAACATTGAAAAGAAAATGCAAAATTTTTTTTCTCCCATAAGAATTGCATTGCGTCGTCTGTTTGTTATCCCTCCAGCTATCTGACGTCACACCTGAAATCGACTCTGACGTCACAACTGAAAAAGCCTAAGGGTCAAGTCCCATGGCACCGTTTTGCGTTGCGTTTTGTAACTAGGCCATGAGTGCAAATATAGCGAACGTATATCTCCATCTATCTCACACTCATTGCCTAGTTACAAAACGCAACGCAAAACGCTGCCATGGGACTTCAGCCTAAGGCTGAAGTCCCATGGCATCGTTTTGCGTTGCGTTTTGTAACTAGGCCATGCGTGTGAGAGAGATGAGATGGAGATATACGTTCGCTATATTTGCACTCAGGCCGCAGTCCCATGGCAGCTTTTGCGTTGCGTCGTAATGAGAGAGAATGCAGCAAACGTATATTTGCGTCTTTTTCTCTCCCATTAAGACGCAACGCATAACGCTGTCATGGGACTCCACCCTCATGGCCTAGTTACAAAACGCTGCCATCCATGGGACTACACCCTAATGCTGATTCCACACTTACCCAGCGCTCCGCTTTTCCGTGGCGCTTTGCGTGAGATAGAAAAAGACATAGACTATCTCTATCTTTTTCTGTCTCACGCGAAGCGCCACGGAAAAGCGGAGCGATTGGGTAAGTGTGGAATCAGCATAAGGCTGGAGTCCCATGGCAGCGTTTTGCGTTACGTTGTAATAAGAGTGAATGCAGCAAACGTATATTTGCGTCTTTTTCTCTCCCATTACGACGCAACGCAAAACGCTGTCATGGGACTGCGGCCTCATAGGTGATGGCTGTATGGTACTTCTACAAGAAAATTCTCGCAAATCTCGGTAGACCTATAATAAAGGTGCTTCTATACCTCTGGTGTTTTGGTCAAACCATCGACTGGATGAATAAATATAAATAAATAAAATAAACATAACGCAGGGTTGGGCGCGTAAAATATATCAGGTAAATTACGTGGTTTTATTCAGTAAAATATCCCATATTTTGACCAGGTATTTTATGTCAAAAACCTGCAGTGAGGGTCCCAGTAAAAAAAGAAGTATTGAGTGGAGCGTTTAGGAATTGAGTGAAGCTCTGAGCCAATACGGATTCGAGTAAAAACCGTATTGGGACGTTTGACTCAATCTTTTTTTCATCCGCCGAATACGGTCTTATTTTAGCATTAAAATTAAAATCACATGAGCAGAGTACACATTATAAATTGAAAGCACAATTGTCCTGGAATGTAAAAATGCCTATTTCGATAAGAAACAGTGAATATTTGTTAAAAATTGGTAAAAGCAAAGTTTGACAAGCACGACTGAATTTACCATGTGAATAAATGAAGTGGGAAGTTTAAATGGACTAAAAGAAATCTACTTTTACCGACAGAAAGTTCCTAGAGAATTGTGGTAAATTCAACAAAACAATGAAATTTCATTGTTTTACAATTCTCTAGGAACTTTCTGTCGGTAACAGTAGATTTCTTTTAGTCCATTTAAACTTACCACTTCATTTATTCACATGGTAAATTCAGTTGCGCTTATCAAATTTTGCTTTTACCAATTTTTAACAAAGAATAAAAAAATATTCACTGTTTCTTATCGAAATCGGCATTTTTACATTCCAGGATAACTGTGCTTTCAATTTATAATGTGTACTCTGCTCATGTGATTTTAATTTTAATGCTAAAATAAGACCGTATTCGGCGGATGAAAAAAAGATTGAGTCAAACGTCCCAATACGGTTTTTACTCGAATCCGTATTGGCTCAGAGCTTCACTCAATTCCTAAACGCTCCACTCAATACTTCTTTTTTTACTGGGGTGGAGTCCCATGGCGGCGTATTGTGTTCGTATATCTGTTTTTAATAAGAAAGGAATTAAAATAAACTTACCGCATAAATCAGCAGACATGTCACATTCATTTCTTTCTGGAATCTTCTTACAACACAACAAACACTACCGACTCAAAGACACTCCAATAAAAAGAATACGAAACGTATCGAGAGGTTGTTAATCTTGGGTGAATGAGTTCGTTTACAATGTTTATTTTGCGAAGCAGCCAAAGTTAAAGATTCCGAACATTGCATTCAAGGTAATTTCAACTTTTAGAAAAGTTTCGATGATGTGTTAGATTTGTCTCGCGTTTGCGCATCGTGTTTTTTATTTTTTCGTTGACATGTAGATCCAACCTAACAAAGAACATGAAAGTTTTTAATAGTTAATTTGTTAGACCCCCACTAATAGATGAGCATCGTTAGAATAAAAGAAAGCACAATATGGTGCTAAATATGAGGATGTATTAACATGTTTACTTTCAAAAGCTGTGTTTTGCGTTGATCAGTGAGTGTAACAAGGTTAAAAGTATATGTAGGGCAATAACAATAATAGTATATAATATAATAATAATATCTTGTGCCATGCTCAGTCTCTGCACATCAAACTGGGTCCCGGGAAGGAAGGGTGAGATCCCATGTGAACAGAATATGTCGACCTAAAGCAGAAAATCATGAGTGCAAAAGAGATATATAGATATTGTTGTTTTTTTCACTCTCATGATTTTCTGCTTTTGGTCGACGTATTCTGCTCACATGGGATCGCACCCTTATTTGGATTCTTCTTTAAGGCGCTTGTTTAACTCCCCGTTTATGAATATATTCAGAAACGTGAAGCAGTTTTCTAAGTTGAAAACGAGTTTTCTATCTTGGAAGCCATTGGAAGTCGTGCTAGAAAATTATTATTATGGCGGGATGATTTGAATGTCAGATTGTAATAAATTGTGATTGGTAGAAAATATGACATTCAAATAATCCCGCCATAATAATAATTTTCTAGCATGACTTCCAATGGCTTCCAAGATAGAAAACTCGTTTTCAACTTAGAAAACTGCTTCACGTTTCTGAATATACTCAGAAACGGGGAACTCCGGTATTTTGGTCAAGCAATTTTGTTTGATTTGGTTATTGGCCTTTTAGTCCCCGTAGTTCAAATAGTCATGTTCTAAATTGATTAAATCTCGACGAATTTTCATGGTCGTATCATTAAATTTGATTGGCTACGAGAAATCTTCCATTTTCACTTCAGAGTCAGTAAAAATGGATTAATTATCACAACCAATCAAATTTAGTAATAGCACCATAAAAATTCGTCTAATCAAATTGCATGGGGAACTCCTCTGACTTATGGTGCAGTCCCATCTAGTGCAGGAAATGTAAAGGCCTAAGCACAACTGCTTTGCGAACGTCGTTCACAAACGCTTAGTATGTGTTAGAAAAGGACAGATATATATTTTTGCGCCCTTTTCTATCTCATGTAATGGCACGGCCACAGTTCGGCTGCCTGCTTGCCTGCAGATCGTCATGATAACACATAAGAGTGAAAAAGACAGACAATTCAAATTATTTGTTCTCTTTCTCTTACTCTCGTGGCGTCTACCTGCGCAGGCAGGGAGCCGAGGTGTGACCGTGCCATAAGAAAAAGCAGGCAACGAGAACAGACCTCATAAAGGCCAACGCAGAATAGATCTGTAACCGGAACCGCAATCGTAACCGTAAGCGTAAGAATGAGTTAGAGAAGGATAAACAATATACCTATCCTTCTTTAACTCATTCTTACGGTTACGCTTACGATTGCGGTTCCGGTTACAGATCTATTCTGCGTTGGCCTTTAGGCTTTTTCAGTTGTGACGTCAGAGTCGATTTCAGGTGTGACGTCAGATAGCTGGAGGGAAAACAAACAGACGACGCAATGCAATTCTTATGGGAGAAATAAATTTGGCATTTTCTTTTCAATATTTTGAAAATTTAATGGATTTTAAACACTTTCTATCTACATATATGTAATTGAAACGAATTCTGTAAAATAATTGTAGTGAAATTAATACTTTACACTTCACAGAAACTTGAAAATATGCTAAAATGTATGTTTTTAAGGTTAGGAACGTCTGCTTACCACTTATCTCTATGTATAAAATAGTTGTAAACAAACGTTTCTAACCTCAAAAACATACATTTTAGCATATTTTCAAGTTCCTGTGAAGTGTAAAGTGTTAATTCCACTACAATTATTATTTATAGAATTCATTTAAATTCCATATATGTAAATATAAAGTGTTTAAAATTTATAAAATCTGCAAAGCATTGAAAAAATGTATCAAAATTTTTCCCTCCCATAAGAATTACATTGGGTCGTCTGTTTGTTTTCCCTCCAGCTTTCTGACGTCATACTCGAACTCGAAATATCTCGATGTAGGAAAAAAGCCTAAAGGTACCGTCCCATGATGGCGTGAAAGCGTCGGCGTAAAGCGTAAACCATGTGAGTGAGTGAGAACCTGATATCTGTTCATCTCTTTCTATCGCACGATTTCTGCTTTACTTGCAAATTTATTTAAAAAAAATGATTTTATCATAGAAATTCTTTTGAAAGTAATGTTAAAAAACATGTTTTATTTTAAAAGTTATCAAATTTTAATTCAAAATGTTTTAATTTTCCAAAGAAGTGTAAAAAGCCTAATGTTTTTGAAATGCTAGTACAGACGGTACAGACTGTTTGTTATGAATGTACATAACCTAGCGTTGTGTTGTCGTGCTTGTGATATTATTATATTCTAAATTTAATGATTTAATTATTATTATATTAAATAATAATGAACAGACAACACAACGCTAGGTTATGTACATTCATAACAAACAGTCTGTACCGTATGTACTAGCATTTCAAAAACATTAGGCTTTTTACACTTCTTTGGAAAATTAAAACATTTTGAATTAAAATTTGATAACTTTTAAAATAAAACATGTTTTTTAACATTACTTTCAAAAGAATTTCTATGATAAAATCATTTTTTTAAATAAATTTGCAAGTAAAAACCTTTTCAACATTTACTTATTCAAAAATACCCGCAATGAAAGTACATTTTCCGACCGTGAAAATTCATCGAGCCGATTGCTTGACCAATCCACCGGAGGTATAGAATACCCCTTCAGGGTACGGTCCCATTCTGAGCAGAAAACAGAATGCAAAGCAGAATTTCGTGAGTGCAAGAGAGATAGTCAGATATCACTATCCTTTCCACTCTCACGAAATTCTGCTTTTCATTGTGTTTTCTGCTCAACATGGGACCGTACCCTGATGGTCCCGCTTATATGCATCTTAGATCGAAGTGTGGATTCCCCATAATGATTTTCTGCTTCACATGGGATCCATTCTTATTTGTCTATAGTTCATGTCCACACGCCCTGTCAAAACAAACTGTGTATAACAATAAATTTTTAGATGATATATGCTTCAGTTTTATTAATTACTAAAAATGTAGTTAATTAAATCTAATAAAAAATGGAAAAATAAGGAAAAGTTTTCAAACGCTTTTATCGAATTTTTTGTACTTTTCTGATAAAAGCAATTGATTATTTTCTATGTAACAATTAAAATGTTTTTTTTTAATTTTGTTAATTATCAAAGTAAATATTTAAAGAAATAAAATATTTACATTTCTTGAGGTTCGGAATAAAATCACTTAACTTGCAGGAAGTTCTGTGTCGAAAACTACTTTTTTAAAACTTTTGGTATTAACGGCGTTGGAGGTCGGGAACTGTCAAGTGTTGCCAACCCACTCTCCCCCACTGTCCAGTATGTTTCGTGTAATTTTCCACTTTGATCACTTTTTAAAAAAAAACAAAGAACTTAATCAAAAAAAGGGCTCTTTACCTTAAAATAAAATTAAATAAAGAATTAGTAAAAATTTACTTTGTCTCGATACGATGTTTCTACTAGCCACAATATGGTTATTACGATGACAATTTACAGATGTAGTTGGCTTGATATGGGGAAAAAATGGCCGCACAACAGAAGGTGGAGTAAAGCGGGGTTGCCTACGTAAAGGCATAACAGTATCATAATACAGGGCAGTAAGTTTTATTTTGTTGAAAATTATAAAAATAACATTTTGCAGTAATAAAAACTAATATAATTAATATAAATAAATGGGGTTTTGTTTATAATAATATACATAATATAAAATATGTTGAATTAAAACGAAAAATATGAAAAACATTTTTTTTAAATTTTGTTATTCATTAAAATAATTTTTTAAAGAGATTAAAAATAAAAATTGCTAATTAGTACCCCTAGAGGTACAATTTATTGAATTGTAATTAATGAAAATAATAAAAATGACAAATATACAGAATTTTGAAAAATTAAATTATTTATACCTAAAAATTGAATTTTTTTGTATTATTATATGTAAAAATTAATTAATTAGTAATTGGAAAATTATATAAAATTAAAAATTATTTATTAATTAAAAACCGTAAAAATATGTATTATTTTTTCCTTATATATTGGTTACATTATTAGTTATCATGTTTTCTAGTCTATAAAAATTTATTTATTTTAATCCTTTGTATAAAAATAATTAATGTAATTATGTTTTTTTATTCCTCAATTATATAAGATAATAAAAGAAATTTATCGCTAATAAATTTTCTATTCTAAAACAATAATTACTTATTCTACTATTTTGAAGCCCCTTTCAATAGGCGACCAATTTATAAGTTTATTTTTTATGTTGAAACTGTCAATTTGTATAGCGAAAACAATATTGACGCTCGTTGAAAAATCGTATTATTAAAAACAAATTTTTTCTTAAATCGTTATTTCATATATAATCACAATAAAAAGCCTCCTTTTTTATAAGTTTCTGCTTTTTCTCTTTCCATTTAAATTATCCAACACTTTCAACTGCTTCATACAAAACTTTTTACTTTGACAATTTTTTATAAAATAATTTGACACTTTCTCAAAAAAAGGGCTCTTTATCTTAAAATGAAATTAAATAAAGAATTAGTAAAAATTTACTTTGTCTCGATACGATGTTTCTACGAGCCACAATATGATTATTACGATGACAATTTACTGATGTAGATGACTTGATTTGAGAAAAAAATGTCCGCACCGAAAGGTGGAGTAAGGCGGGGTTGCCTACGTAAAGGCATAACAGTATCATAAAACAGGGCAGTAAGTTTTATTTTGTTGAAAATTATAAAAATAATATTTTGCAGTAATAAAAACTAATAGAATGAATATAAATAAAGGGATTTTTGTTTATAAAAATATACATAATATAAAATATGTTAAATTAAAACGAAAAATATGAAAAAAAAAA